AGACAACAAGGTGCAGAGCTGGATGAACACAGCAGGCCAAGCAGCATTGTAGGAGCAGTAAGGCTGACGTTTCGGGCCTAGACCCTTCATCAGAAAATCTACTGCTCCTACGATGCTGCTTGGCCTGCTGTGTTCATCCAGCTCTGCACCTTGTTGTCTCTTGATATAAACCATTATGGGTATTAATTATAGCGTACTTCTGGGATGCCTTACCCAGTCGCTATTGCAGGTAGGCATGGCTCATATCCAGCTTGGTAAAGGATAGCACCCCCCACCCCCCTCTCCACCGCCAACTTTGCGTACAGCTCTCTATGCAAGGAATTGAGTATTTATCCAGCTGCGAAAAGCAGTTTACTGTTTGCTTAAAATCCCCACAATGACGAACTGAGCCGTCAGGCTTCACATATGGTACAACCATTGCTGCCCATTCTGCAGACTGCACTGGTTTGATCATTCCTTTGGTCTCCAACTCCCTGATTTCTGCCTCTACTTTTGCCCCCAAGACAGATAGCACTGACAAAATCGCAGAATTGCTTCCTGGTCAACATGTAAAGTGGCTTTGGCCTTTTGATAGTCCCCAGTCCTTCCTGAAATACTTCTGGGGATTTCACTAGGACTTTACTGAGGCAGCTGTTTTCTAATTGAAAAATGTTGAGCCAATCCAGATGAATCTCTCCCAACCAATACTGTCCCAATAGGCCTGGGTCCAAGCCTTTTACCACCATTAGTGGTAACTGCACCAACTGCCTCTCATAGGAGGCTGGAATCGAAGTTGTGCCCTTAATCCTATGTGTATGTTCTTGGTCTCGTTGACGTCTTGTGAAAACTTAAGTCTTGGAGTCGTGACCGAATCTTGTTAAAGGCGGATTCTGCAATCACCAATGTAGCTGCGCCAGCATCGGCCTCCATAAAAAAAACTGGGTGACTATTTAACCAAACATTAATTTCTTTTTTCAGTTCTGATTTGAATGTCACTAAGCAATTTAGTTGTTCCAACCCACATGTCGGGGGATTTTTCAGGGTGTGCATCTCCTGGGTACCGGCCTACGGGTTTTCTTACTCCATTCAGGTCATGTAGGATTCCTATGCTGTCTTGAATCCATGTACCTGTAAAAACTACAGTGGCTTGCCAGCCCAGATCCTGAGGCACTTTTTAGCTACTTGGATGAGGCTTGGCTTTGTGGGGTTCTGCGGTGGGCTGGCCTAGGGACCCTCTGCTCAGGATATGCCCTGCATGAGGCTCTGCGATTGCCTAGACTCAATTGGAGTTCCACCATTTCATTCGGAGACGTGAGGAAGTCCACTTCCATTGGGATGCCCTGTCGCTCCCATGCTCCACTTGCCTCATTTTCTAATGATAATGCCAGTTGTGGCGCCTGTTTGAAGTCCAGTTGGGCTTCAGTTAGTATGCGCTTCTACATGGCTATGTCATTAATCCGACGTACCAAACAGTCTGTCAGCATCTCATTCAATGTTAACCCAAAAATATGGCCTCTGCCAGTCATTTCAATGTCGTAATATTCCTTGATCAACTTTGTCCACTGTTGGAAGGTTTTAGTGCCTCTGGGAAAGTTAAGCCCCTTTTATAGCCAAGAATGCTGCAGGTCCGCAAGCAGTCAGAAGGATTACTCGTTGCTTTTCATCTACCCCAACGTCATTTGCCCGGGGGGGGGAAACAAAAAGAAACTCATTCTTTCCACACACTGGGCCCAGTCTTTGACAGCAGGATCAAATGAGCCAAGCTTTCCAAATAAAGGCATGATGCCAAAAGTGCTTATCCCAACTCCACGATGACTGTTGCAAGCGAATGTTCTTTAGGCACATCCTGATTCTGTTCTCCACCACCCCGCTCCCCCCCAACAACTGAAGTAACTGCACAAAGGCCAGTATCCCATCACCAAGTCACCCTTTATCTACTTATACACAGTACACGGTCTTTGGCCAGCCAGCTCAGAGTCAGTTGCCTAAACTGAGATGATTCTAGTCTGGTTATATTGGTCAGCCAGGGCTTTCCTGATTGACCCAGGTTAACAATTCCAATCAATGGCTTCTTGGTCAATGAGGTCAACCTGGTTCCTATCACTACATACCCCATCAGTTGCTATATGTGGTGGCTCTTAACCAATAAGCCAGAGATTTTAAGTTGTGAATTAGTTGCCCTATGCATCCCTGCAAGCAAGTGAAAGTATCTGGAAAAGATGCAGCCCTTGACAAGCCAAAAGGGCCATCCCAGTGACTCCCTGTGGACGGGATCCATTTGCTTTCCCTGTGTGCGTGTGTGTGTGTGTGTGTGTGTGTGTGTGTGTGTGTGTGTGTAACTAGAATGTATTTTTGCAATAATTATTAACTAATTATTTGTCCAGAATTCTGTTCTGTGTTTTGTCAACCTGGGTGTAACTCAGTGAATTGAGGAATTGTGCGTACTTTTATGAAGTCTTTAACTTTTGTGATGACACCAGAAAGACCAGGGTTTCATTTCCAGTGCATTATCCAAGTGAGGCGTAATGGTCTCTGATCTTTAGTTGGACCTAACATGACTATGGATGAATCAATACGCTTTACTCCACAGATTATAGTCCAGAAAAATGGAAGTATGTGATCTCTTATAGACTGTACTCATTGGATCTTTCCGACTGGCAAGATGTATTCATGCACACTCTTTTCTGCCAGCTCATCTATATTCCAACTATTCTAACATGTAATCTCCTACACCATGAGATTTTGTTTTCCCAACAACTTTTGATGTCATCTTATGCCTTTTGGAAATCAAAGTAAAGTACATCTACTAACTTCCCTTTATCCACTGCACACATTACTCCTTTAAGGAAATCTAATAAATGGACTAAATCTGATTTCCCATTCACAAAACCATGCTGGCCCTTCCTGAATTTTACCCTGTGTTTCTAAGTGCGCAGTTGTAACCCTCTTGATGATTAATCTTAATACTCATCACTTGACAGACATCAAACTAGCTGGCCTGTAGGTTTCTGTTTTCGGTTTCTCTGCCTACTTATTCCCTACTTCCTACTTTCTAGTACAATGAAGCTTTTTCTGAACCTAGAGAATTTTGGGAAATTAACATTAATACATCTTCTGGCAAAAATACATCAAATAAAGACTAGGTATGTTCTGCTATTCTGTCTAGCACTTTTCCCATGACTCATCTCACTGTGCGCATAATGGTTGCTTGATTTACAATGTAATAGTGATTATGCTTCTTAAGTAACGTGTTGACTTTGAAATAATTTTTTGTTTGGTACAATATCAAACATTTAATTAACTTGGAAGATTTTAAAGCTGTCCATATATTAATACGTGTTCTTTCTGGTTATGGTGTAAATTTCATGTCCTCCTTTATATCAAAAAAAATTTTAAAAAATAGTTATTAACTATTCTGTCCGAACACGACTGTGTATGTAATTTGTGCTGATGTTATTTTTGTTGTATTTTCAGCCATGAAGTTATATTTCCAAATCCTCATGCTACTTTGGTGCTTTGTGGATATATCAAAGGCTGCCAAAATTGTGGTTGTGCCGCCGATTATGTTTGAAAGCCATCTCTACATTTTCAAGACTCTCGCTAAAGCTTTGCATGAGCATGGACATGATACTGTGTTTGCAGTGTCGGAAGGTAGAGAAATCCATTCCTCAAATTACTTTAGATTGCTGCGGTATCCTGGCTTCTTCAATAGCACAACGGCAGATGAATTTTTGCAATCTAAGATGCGGAACATATTCTCAGGAAGACTAACGGCACTAGAACTCTTTGACATTCTGGAGCATTACTCCAAGAACTGTGACATCATGGTTGGCAGTCAGAGTTTCATCGCACAGCTCAAAGAGGAAAAGTTTGACTTGCTTTTGGTGGACCCAAATGAAATGTGTGGCTTTGTCATTGCTCATCTTCTGGAAGTGAAGTATGCTGTCTTTTCAACTGGTCTCTGGTACCCAACAGAAGTTGGTGCTCCAACACCATTAGCCTACGTACCAGAGTTCAACTCTCTCCTTACAGACCGGATGAATTTATTTCAACGAATTACAAATATTGCAGTATATTTGGTGTCACGTTTTGGTGTGAATTTTCTGTTCTTGCCAAAATATGAGCGAATTATGCTGAAATATAAAATTGAGCCTGAACGCTCCATGTACGATTTAATACAGGGTTCCAGCTTATGGATGCTTTGCACGGATGTAGCACTGGAGTTTCCTCGACCGACTTTGCCCAATGTTGTGTATGTGGGAGGAATTTTGACTAAACCTGCAAGCCTTCTACCAGAAGTAAGGTTTGCTTGTTTTTCGCACAGCCCGAGGGCTCTGTTACTTGTAGTATCGTGGTAATGGCAGAATGTGATCCTTGAAGGCTCCAGATAATGAGCAAAATAATGAGAATAAAAGACAATGTTAGGAATAGAAGGCAAAGGTTTGTGCCAAAATAGAATGTAAAACTCAATTTTGATGTATTTATACTCCAAAGGAATGGAGCTTCAGAGCCTTTTTGTGACTACATCACTGGAATTAGTTTTTAAAATAAGTTATTAGTTTAGTGTAATAATGTAGAATGAATAGGTGGCTGGAATTTGAAGAATTGCTTTTTTTTTGTACGTTGAGGGTTGTATTCTAAAATCTATGTTGTAATTTTGGATGTTTTTTCACTAATTGGCTTCTAGACATAGTTTTTCGGCTGTTATAAGGCTCTCAAGATGATATGGATATCACTGAGCAGAATAGTGAAAATATAAGGGAATACTTGATAGGGTACAAAGCATTTTAAAGATCTTGCTGAAATGTTGTTTAATTATTTCATTTTAAAGGTGAAATGATAATTTCATTTTAACTGTTGCATCAATTTATCAATTTTCAACATATGAATGAGTCTCTATTGTGTAAAATGTTTCATGGGTTATCATCCATCAAGTTGCCCCATCGCCTCATCTCCAGAACTGAGTTGAAATAGAAGTTTGCTTTTTGAAAAGCAATAGCCATTTTGTTTTATTGCTGCATCAATCACATGCTCACGGAACTGTTAATTTTCAATCCCAAATTGCATGGATTGTTGTTTAACATGAGTTATTTTATATTTTTAAATATTACTAATACACATCAGGGGGTAATTTCAGTTGCTATTTTAGCTTCTGCAGCACTTTAATATTCTCAAGGGCTTTGTGCTCATTCCTATGGATGGAATGCAGATGATGCCAATTGTTTGTTGTCTTGGTGTTGGCAAAAGGTCTGTTATTCACTTTCCCATTGCTCCCTCTGACCAATGAGTAGATATAAATTCTGTATGCAGTTGTTTTGCATTGGCTGCATTCTGTCTTTCTCATCTGTTCCAAAATGGGACATTGCTGAATATAGTCCCATAAATTTAACAATGACTGTACTATGATTGTAAATCTGAGACAAAAAATCTCTTATGGAAATCAATTGAGATAGGTAAAGTTGCTTTTCAAGAAAGAGCCCACAGTCCACTTGAGACACCAACAAGAGGACTAAATTTTTTTAAGCTTTGTAACAATTGAAGGAGAATGACCTGTAAGCTCCTCGAAAAGCAGAATTTCGTAGAAGTATTTAAAGGATCAGCAATATATGTAACATCTAGCACAAAAAGGTGTGGAAGGAAAAAGCAGAATTTTAAGTGTTATACAAGTTTTTATATTTGGACCTTTTTTCATATTAATTTATGGGATGCTGACATTACTGATAGCCGACATTTGTTGCTTATTTTTAATTTAACCTTGAAGATGGTTGAGCGTTTTCTCCTTAAGCTGCTATGATCTGTATGACCTAAGTGTACACACAATAGTTTTAGTGTTTCAAGATTTTTATCCAGTGACAATGAAGGAGCACTGATATTTTCCTATCAGGATGGTTTCCTTGCAGGGATTCTTGTCAGGCAATGGTTATCCCATGTGACTGCATCTCTCATCCTCCTTAGCTATATTGTTGGGAGTTTGGAATGTGTTTCTTAACAAATGTTGAAATGTTGTAGTGGTGCACACTGTGGCTATAATGAAACCGAGTGTGAATTTTAAGGTGGTAATGCCAGCTAAGTTCACTACTTTGTTCTAAGTGGTGTTGACCTCTTTTTGAGTGATATTCAGAGCTGCACTTACACTGCACTGAAGTGCTGGCTGTTGGCATCCATGAGAATGAAAATGTTCATAAGCTGCCACTTCCTATCAATTATTTAACCACCACCATTCAAGATGAGTCATAGCAGGACTTCAGAATTTTGTTCATAGAATTGTTTAGCTCTGTGGACCTAATCTATCTATCTACTTCTGCTTAACATTCATGCATAGGTCAACGCCACAATTCTTGTGCATGGCTGGTGCTTCTGGGATGCCCCTTTTATAATCATTGTCAAACTAAAGTTGACTCCTAACGTGATGCCATGGTAGAGTGAAGGATAAATCCGGCTTGATGGGCCATGATTTATCTTTTTTATTTAAAATGTGCTGGTCTTTCACTGAAATATAAGTAAACAAACTGCAGATTTTGTTTTAACGATAAAATATAAGTTGTGTATTTCTTATTTCTTGTAATATATTCCAAACCAAATGATATAAATCTAACAGTTGAAAGATTTCAAAACACTGAGCAAAACAAAATCCCATCTATTCCCACAACACCATTACTTTTACATTTGATGAAAAGCTAGAAAAATGTCTCTTCCTTATCAGATCTCAAAGTTTTACTTAGCAGACAGGAACTGAAGAAAAGCAGTTGACCTCTGGTCTTTGCACTGGAAGTCCAAGCAACTGACATCTTAGATTTTCCCAGTCTTATAATAACTTGCAAAGTTGTAACCAAATACTCTTGATCTAGTTGTTTCACAAATTAACTATTTTTTTCCCCTGAGGTAACTTTTCTTTTTATTCCCTTAACTGTTGAGAACAATCTCCTTGCCAGGAGAAACTCTTCCTGCATCTGACTCTAGTCAGGTCTCCTTCAAACCTTCCAAAAATGTTCCAATCTCTGGATTCTTTTTCAAACTGAGATCAATCCTTGACTTATTCAAAAGCCAGCTAATATCTTTCGATGTTTTCTCTGTCCTGTCATAAAACTCACAGAATAACCAAAATTCCAATAACAATTCAGAAGACACAAATTTAAAATTATTTTTCTGAAATGCCTGACCTAGTTGATTTTAAACCCTTTCTCAAAACTAAACGAACTTGCATATGTCACTAGTTTTAAAATCCAAAGTCTTTCACCTGTTATCACTGTTGATTATCTTGGATAATTTTAAAAGCTTCTCTGTTTAAAAAAAAATTGGATTTTTTTAGTCTTGCATAATGGAATTGTTTGCTTCAAATGCAACATGGTGTTACCCCATGTATTCTATAGCTTATACCTTCACTTGACATTCTGATTTTGTCTTGAAGTTGCAAAATTTGACAATAGAAAGTGAAAGACTGTTTAGCATAAATCTTTCTACATTTTGATTCAGTCCATTACTTGTACTTTTCCAATGTGGCAGGATTCTGCTATTGTGCTTCTAGCAATGCTCAATTATGAATTGGCTAATAATGCTTTGTAAGCTACAAATATAATTTAAAATCTTTTAATTAGAATTGCAAAGATGTTTTGTGAAGGCTTAGTAAAATAACCTTAGAGGTTTTCCCATGTCTAGTGACACATGTGGCATAAAAGCTTTGAGCTTCTGGGTTTTTATTGCTTGCTTTTACTTGAACAAGTTGTTAGATTGTTGGAGCTTCTCGATTTGACAGGGCGTGACTCTGCAGGTGGGCATCACTAACCATGAGATTCTCCTGTGCTTACTGCCTGTCAGATATCAGAAAGATTTGCACATTGATGATCAAATTGTTTGGCTTTGTTATGAATACACCTTTCACAAAGTCCCAGTGGGATGTGAACCTAGGGTTTCTTGTTCAGACCTAGGGATCTGACCACCATATCACAACACACTTGGTTGCTTTTAGAAAGAAAATAATAATAATGACTAGGTTTTAATGTTGATTTTTAAGAATTGTTAGCATATGATGAGTGCTGAGATAGCTGAATCTCATGTGCATTCTGAAGAAAGTATGTAACAATTTTGTTTTGGACTTGTGTTCTTTCTTTAAAATAATTTTACGCTAGTTTATTTTATTCGTTCACAAGATGAGGGCAACACTGGCTAGGCAGCATTTGTTGCCCATCCCTAATTGCATAGAGGACTGTTAAGAGTCAACCAAATTGCTGTGGGTCTGGAGTCACATGTAGGCCAGACCAGATAAGGATGGCCGATTTCCTTCCCTAAAGGACGTTAGTGAACCAGATATACTTTTCCTGACAATCGGCAATGGGTTCATGGTCATCATTAGACTCTTAATTCCAGATTATTATTGAATTCGATTCCACCATCAGCCATGGCAGGATTCGAACTTGGGTCCCCAGAAGATCTGGGGTCTGGGTCTATGGATGAACAGTCCAGCAATAATACCACTAAGCTTCCTCTTTTAAAAGCACTTCTCCAGGAATTTTAGTTTTTGCTGGAACGGTCATTCCGGCAGTGAATGCCATTAATTATGCTTTGTCCTTGCCCTTCTGCAATTATTTCTTTGGTCAAGTTTCCGGATGTCCAAGTTAATAACGGGAAAGGAGAAAATGGTCATTAAAACAAGGTGATCATTTAAATTAATTGTATGTTTTGAAAAACACAACAATAATTATTATTTAATGAAGGAAGAAAACTTGCAGTCAATAAGATTTATTTTGCCTTTCAAAAGATATTTACACTGGACTGGAGAAGTCTGTGCTTTGCCTGGAGAGTTTATTCTGATCTGGGGTAAGTACAGGGACTTCACACACTGACTTACAGGGGATTTTCCTATAAAGTGTGTTCCAGCAACGCAAATGGCTATAAACGTGATTGACAAATAGGGGAACGCTATTTCTAAAACGCAAACTTGTGTTGGTTGTAATGCAGTTCCATCAGGTGGGTATCTTGCTGTCAGGAACCCTTTGCTGGTGTTATCTAGAGTGTACTTATACAATGTTGTGATTCTGAGAGTCCCAGAGAAATTCTCTCTCTCAGCTTTCATTAAAACAGAAAAGTAAGAATCTAGCATGTCTGTTATCAGGAAAATTCGGGTGTAGGGGACAGTGAAAAACAGCATATCTAACGTACCTTGAAAGGAAACATTGTGAAGCACAGGACCAGAGTACAACAGGAGGCTCCAGCAGCCTTTTTAAGTAATTAATCAGATCACGGTTGACTTGTTTCAACTTGATTTTCCTACTTTTGCTCCATATCCCTCGCTACCCTTGTGGTGTGCTGATAAGATCGCTGAAGGAGTCTGAGTTACTATGGCAACATACACACATGTCAC